ACCCTTCGCGAAGCGAGGGGACGCTTTCCCTGACCCTGGGCCGGGTCTCAGAATCTGCTAGAACTTTATGTTTAGGGTTTAGGGGTTTAGGGTTTAGGGTTAAGTTTCTTAAGATGCTGCACACCTGTGGACAGGAAAGCAAAACCCGAGCAATGGTGTCGTTTGAACCTTTTGTTGGTTGCTTCAAACCTGACGTCTATGAAGATCTGGATGTACAGCCGGGCCAGGGCACCGAGGCAATCAGACAGAGAATCTGGTACATTTGCATTCACATGCCGCCTTCTAGGGAGAGTTTATAAATGAGCTTCGGAGGAGGGTTTAGGTCATAAAAGCTCGTTTGAATAATAGCCGAAAGCAGCCAGCTGCTGGTAGGCTAAGCCTAAGGTCTATGCTTCCAAGGCTTGGGCTCTGGATTGTTTTGAATGGGGGCCCGAGGATTTCTGGTGGTCCATGGTTGAACTTGCAAGGTGTGGAGAGTGTCGTGTGTTGCAGTTTGCTTTTGGGGAGCGCCAAACTGAGCCACATGAGGCCGAAGTCTCGAACGCGCTTTGACAGATCAGGGTTGGTTCGAAGCTTAGAAGCCCATCTTGATTTGTGACAGGGAGCTCCTTATGCGCTCAGAGGAAACGGAACGGCTCGTGAAAGCTTGTAAACTAACGGCAGCCTTGGGTGGGCATGTGCGCAGATGTCTTATCCGTCTCAGGGGCCCAAACTGGCAGAAGAACTTACGAGAAGCAGAAGCTCTGCTTTCTCACAGCTGATTTACGGCAGGGGAGTTCAGCGAGAATTCTCGGAATCTGCCGGCCCCTGCTGTTGCCAAGCTTATTCTGGACAATCGCATTGAGATGCATTGAGCATTCGGCAGCAAAGGGGACTCTAGCAAGACGTTATTGTGTTGCATTATGTTGCGTTCCCAAGCTGTGTCGTACAGAAATCAGAGGACAACGACACAGGTCTTGTCCCTTATCACTCCCAGGCATGACCCACATAGAGCCCAGCATATCGCAGGGGTTCGCTTAGAGGCTTAGATGCGCTTGCAGCACCCAGCGGCCCTTGCATGTACGCCGCTTGAAGTTTGGTCTTCTTCTTGTTGATGCCGTTGTTCGACACTCAGCCCGGGATGCTTGGTTCTGATTGCCACCATTCTAGGGTTTAGGGTTCAGGGTTTGGGTTTAGGGTTTAGGGTTTATGACAGGCGTTGCTTCCTGTACGGTGGTTGTTGAGCTTCAGGAGGCTACTACACCTGGCCAAAGGCATTCAGCTTTAAACTACAACGATGCGCCCCAAACCCCTGCAACACCTGTTTAAACCCTTCTCGGGGCCATCTAACTAAATCCGGACCCCCTGAAAACACGTACATGCATTTAAAAACACACAAAGACAAGTCCTGTGACGCAGGACGTCCGCCCTGTCACCTGGCTTAGCCGACTGTCCCCCGGAAGCTCGGGACTCATGCGAAGAGTTTCGGTTGTTAACTCAGGATTTAGGGTTTGGGATTCCCGGGCCGCGTCTTGGAGTCAAAACTGTCCGGTGTAGGCTGACAAAACCTGAATGTACACTGACTTCTTGGGTTTATGGATGTGAACTCCATCTTCTCCATGATTTGGAGATGGAGAGAAGCATGGCTGCTTCTTATGAGAGCATGTGCTCGTAAAACTGGAGGCAGGTACATCTATACGAAAATAGCTTCAGTTTCCCAACATCTGTAAAGTGCCATAGCACCATCTATAGCACCTATGTTCGGTCATCTGCTATTTCAGGTGAGCAGAAGACGAGACACCCTTTGGCACACTGCGCAACAGCGCGGAGGAGCAGTCAGAAGCAAGATTACTGCTAGGACTCTGTCAAACCAAATTGAAACCTGCGTAGGCCATTGTCCATATATAAATATAATTCATGTCTGCTGATTTGTGTGCATATAGATATATAGAGTAAATGAGACAAAACTTATTATATGAGAATCTGCCTGAAGTATTCGTCGGCCCTTGAGTTCTCAGCGGTTCCAGGGCCGGACACTGTCGCAAGGCCAAATCGTGGATTCGAGGGTTGAAGGAAGGTTTAGGAAAGCTTAGGGCGTTTAGGGTTTACAGGGTTTAGGATTTCAGGGTTGGAGGAAGGCTGAGGCCTTATAGGGTTAAGGATTTTCGGGTCGAAGAAAGGTTTAAGTTTTTGTGGCTTGGGATCTAGGGTTGGCAGAACCCACCCCTTAGCCCGCCAGGAACAGACGAGAATCGAAAGACGGGCCTTCACATCCTCAGCCCTAAGCCCTGTCGTTGAGGCTTGGGCCCTTGGGGTGCTTCGCCAGGGCTTGTGCGGATCTCAGCAGCTAGATACTCATAGTCTCCATTGTAGTTCCTTGGGGTCACCTTGTAGGATCCTTCATATATTATTTGTGAAACCAAAAAGGAACTACAATGGAGACTATAGGAAAGATGTGACTCATCGTCACGGTCGAGAGTTTGTCTTAGCTCTATGGCCTCTGTCTCACGTGCATCGTGTGACGCAGAGCAAAAATGCGTGCAAAGTTCTATATGCACTTCTTGCATCAAGCACGCAGGTATATAGCTTGGTGATTTGTGTTGAGGGGGAGATCCCCGCGTACAAGCAAGAGACAAAGGAAGCGTAAGTGATGATATGCAGGATTGGGTCCTTGTTTTTAACGCCAGTCGTCTTGTTGGCTGCTTGACTGCGTCTGATGCGGCAGAAATCCCAGGTGCCTATCTGCTACGCGCTGGCAATGTGGGTGTCCAGTCCTCGGTTGTTGTTTGCCACGGTGGAGGTCAACGTTGCTCCATTTGTCGTGAACTTCCTCCTATTTGTTTTGTGTGCGCGCATGTGCGCTGATAGGTTTTTGTGTTCCGCAGTGTGGAGGCTTGTTTCAACCCTTACATGACTCGTGTACTGCCGCATTCTCTGGACTTTCAGCCACACCGAGTACGACGCTTGCAAATCGCAAGTCAAAGTCACGTGGTCATGTGACGGCGATGTGCAGTTCAACATCGTCACAAGACATGTGCTTGAGCCGAAGCTTTTCTTCCTTTCAGCCCGACGCGACTTCGTAGTGCCCTCCATGGCTAAAGCAGCTAGCAGGCTGACTGTATGTCCCGAGGCGCCGATCTCCTAACCTTTTTCCATGCCAGGTAACAAAGCACACGGTGTCCCTAATGCTGCATGCATAGATAGATCGATTCTTAGATAGACGGATAGAGACAGCCGAGGCTGAAAGTAGGTGCGGCTATATGCATGCATCCTTTCTGGCAAGCATGCAATGCCTTCTTAGAGGTACCCATGCATACAGAGATATTCTCACACGTTCAGAAACTCGACATGCATAGCTACATGACTGGTTCACAATGCACCCCTACATGTAACAGAAATCCTCAGGCATCTAGCATCCTGTGCACAGTCCTGCCAAGCAGATTGAGTTCCAAAGCCGAGAGTGCTAGGCTGGCAGTGATGATTGCTGCTGCCTTGGCTTCTGGCGAGTTGTGGATGCAGGCTTGAATTTCAGTGCATAGTCGGTTTTTGGCTAGGCTTTGGGGTTTGTGCCAAGATGTCTCAGCCCTCCATCCGCTGATCAACCTCTCGCTCCCTCTTTTTGCGACGTCGATTCCGTCGCTCCTGCTCTGAGGTTTACATGTATGCGCTCATCCAGAAGATTGATGATACGGTGCCTGCCGCTTCGTAGACCATGTGCATCTACCCACAAGCATGCAAAAGTTGCAGTGGCAATAGCAACAGGAACTGGATAATTCAGGCAACACGAGCAGCTCTATGAAATGTTGTAGGGGGCCTCTTTCCACTTCTCGCCGCATATGTTAGACAACCGAAGCCCTAGAATCTTAGAAGTCATAAGCCCTGTTTACAGCTCTGGCCCCCTCGAGCCTGACAGTTTCTTCACGGGCTCCCCGCCCTCTGGCGGCCTGTTGACTCGGAGAAGGGTAAAATAGGGGCCTAAATAATTACCAAGACTATTTTGGGGGCTTCTTATTAGAATTGTAGTATAATGGACACCAAAACCCTATTCTAAGTATTAAGGCCCCTACATTAGCGGAAGTTGCCATTGCCTGGAGGAGGCAGGCGTCGCATTGCTTAGGACATGGCATGACCGAGAGTTGCTCGAGACTGTTGTATTTCCATGTGGGAGTTTCCAAAAATGAGGGTACCTTATTTTGGGTTCCTTATATTAAGGGTCCTACTATTTAGGGTACTATGTTAGGGTCCCCTATTTTCGGAAACCCCCATGTATCATTGCCCCGAAGAGCACCGCAGAGACAAGTCTTTCGCGGGGATCTGTTTCAATGTTGTTTGCTTGAGGCTCACCCGGAAATCTAGAGACGCAGGGATCTAGGAACAGGTAGGTATTTTCTTGCGTCCCCCAACTCCCACTTGAAGTGGGGCTTGACATAGGGCGTGCAGGGACCCGACGGATCGCTTTTGACGCCATGTATCAGCCCGCCTATCGACCCAACCGGGGTCTCTCACCAGCAGGCACAGTGACAGTTGCTCTTCAATGGGTTCTTCCAGACAACAGGGTTTTGGGATTTCTTTTGGTCTTTAACAACTACGAATTACTTTGAAGATGGGCGAGTTATGCGGATGGGTGTCGCAGGGTGAAGCATGTGGCACACGCCTGTGGCCTCTTCAGTTCCTGCTTTGGGATGTGGACTGCGGAGGCACCTGGAGGTATGGAGAAGGCCATGATGTCTTTTTCTGAAGCACATCGGGCTGTGTTCGAGGCGGTTAGAGTGAGGCTTGAGGTGATGTGTCGGGGTCTTTGCTTCCAGTGCTTGGGGGTGTAGGGAGCTGGGTTTGGGCTTGATCATAGTGACCTTCTGGCCGCTTGCGCACATCATTTGTCGTATGGCCAGAACCGCCCCGAAAGCCACAACCAGCTCTACAGAGTGCCTCGCGCGACACTTTAAACTTTACACCCGATAATTACAAACAGGCAAAACCCAAAGCCATGCAACTCAATTGCGCAGTTGCGGCCCCACCAGGCCCTTCGCCGTTTGCGCCCAGTTTGGGTCGAGGGCCAGGCAGAGCGTGTGCCGTCGCCTTCTTGTCTTTAAGTTTTCATTGTTATACAGAATTTGTTGTATAGTATATAGTACATATATTAAACTTTTGCTTTTCTGGGGTTCAGATCGTAGAGTCGTAGACGTGGCTGGGGCCTTCAGGACAGTGAACTAACGGTAGGTGTGCCGCATGTAAATACACAAGAGGTTCTGGCTGTTGGAGGGAATAATCTTGTGATTTTTCAGGCCAGGTAGCAGGCACGGTCGGTGATATGATGACTGTCATGCAGCCGCACTAATGACAGTCATGTCAAGTCAAGTCTAGCCAGATCAAGTGAAGTCAAGCTGAGGCCCGAATTGGCAGCCTTTTGCCGGCGCAAGCAAAATGCAAGTGACGAAAGACTTCAGGTGAATGCGGGTACAGCACGCTGGCGTAGCGCTAATGAGAATCATCTTGCTGGTTGACGCAAACACCACCACCATCACTGCGATGAGAATGCAGAGCATTCCCCTGCTCATGTCACCGCGGCCATCATCATTCGCAGCAGCATCATCCTTATCGCCGTCTTCGCCACCATCACTGCCACCACGGTTCTCTAACCCACAGCGCCTCATCACCACTGCGATTCATAGTATGAGCAGGGTGTTCACTTGTCTTCATATTGGCCTTGCCAACATCCACCGCAATCGTCACCATCACCCTGTATATGCACAGAGATGCACTCGTCATCACGGCGATCACGAGCGCAGCCCCACCACCAAGGCAATCGCCATCATCGTAGTCACTGTCATCTTCGCTGCTATCCTTATGACTACCGGTGACTGCCGTTTCTTGACTTTCGGCATCATCAGGATCAATTGCGGCCACCACAACAGCAATTTCGGTTTCAGCAATTGCCGGTGCACGCTGATGTTCTGTAGACTACACACCCGTCATACCAAGCAGAACAGCTCCAGCTTTCAGCGCGAGGGCTCGTTGAATTCCTCGTTGATGAGAATGCTCGGGCTGCACGAGAAAAACAGCAGGGTAGAGCTTTGCAGTATAGCTGCCTCAGGCCCCCTACCCTGCCCCAAGTCTTGACCGCTGGCCGAGTTGTTTCTGTGAAGGTGGCTGCGGGGCACCGTGGACAAGCAGCGTGCCTTCGTACGATCCACCTCCGAGCTCAACAGGCGAATCAAGGATACTTCTTGCAGGGACACGGGGTTGGCTTGCAGGACGTGTTGGGTTTTATGCTGACAGCTTCGCCGACGACGACGGCTGCTGCTGCTGCTGCTGCTACTGCTACTGCTACAACTTCCACTGCTGCATCCTCGACTACGGCTGTGGTCACTGCCACTACTACTGCTGCCACCACCACCACCACCACGACGACTCCCAGTGCCACTACCATGCAACGACTACCAGGACTACTACGCCGACAGGTACTATGACAACTGCAGTGCCAAGCTGCTTCCGCTGCTGCTCCTGCTCGTTTTACTACTCTTGCTATTTCTACGGCTTCGGTTGCATCTAGTCTTACTACAACTGCCACGGCTAAGTCGCTTTGTAAGGCCGCCTAGTCACGCTGACACGCAGGCTAGCAGCGTTGGTCTGACGTTGTTAGATTCCCATCAGAAACTGAACGCTGACCAAGTCTGGCACCCGATCCCCGCAGGCTTGCATCGACCGCTTGATCGCGGCCTGGGCATCGATGTAACATGCCTGTGCTCTGTTTGGCCCACCCTGGCCATGCAAACAGATCTTAAATCTTGTAGGGCGCGGTCCCCTTGAATCATGTTCAGGTATCTGATGCCGAGGTTCAGGGAAGAGGAAGCTCCCCTTCTCATCTGTCAGGTCGTGGGTAGGTCTAGATCTGAGTCTAGTATAGTATAACATAGTATAGTATAGTTTATAGTATATAATATAGTATAGTATAGTATAGTATAGTATAGTATAGTATAGTCTGTAGTATATCGTATAGTATAGTATTAGATGTTTGTCATGCATCCTGGAGCTCCAGCAGTTGGACGTTTCCTTACTTGGACGTCGAGTCAAAGGAACAAATCCGAGCAGTTCTGGCATCTCCAAGGCACAGTTTCCTCGGAACTTCCCGTCGGCAGGGGTCGGGCCTCGGGGGAGTGTGGGGATTTATATCAGCTTAAGGCTTCACGGGCGTGCAGGAACGGGAGGTGTGTCGGATTTCCGGCTTGCTTGCAGTTTCGTGAGTGGCAGTCCAAGCCTCCACTGCAGCTTTGCATGCAGCGCGTGGATTCCGATTTAAGGACCTTTTGCAACGGAGGGTTTCTGCTTCCCTGCGACCATTCTAAGCACGTCCACTCTAGTTGAAACCCCCTGAATCCCTGAAGCCCCGAGGCCCATGGCCATAGCAAAGCCTGTCAAAGCGAGCTTCATTTGTCGAGAAAATCCCACCAAACTCCACGCGTACCCGGTTGCAGGCCCCCGAGTTCGGAACCATCCCGGGTTCCTGCCTGCACGAGCCCTAGACTCAAAGGCTCATGCCCTGAGTTTGAGGTTTTTGAGACTTTCCGGCGAGAGTTTGGGGCTTTGCGTTTAGCTTCTTTTAGTACTTTAGTAGCAGCTAGAAAGTTGGAACATCACAATCCTCCTTGGTTGATATATGTAAACGGAATCCGAGTACGTAGGGTTCACTGTTAACCTTTCCCTAGAGAGGCTGTATAAACGGGGTGCAGGACAGCCGAACAATCAAGAGTCTAGCGAAGGCTTTGCGATGGGATTCCGCGGCGAGGTTTGAGGGGTTTTCTCTATAAGCGCCCATAGTCCCATAGTTCCATGCTGATATACGGCACAGAAAGCCTATCTCAACTGCTTGGTGAGTTTCTTCATATGGGTAGTTCTCTAAATTAGGGTCCCTTCTGGGTCCCCAATATAGTACGGCACCCTTATAAAAAGGATCCCTACAAGGGACTCGAATTTTCAGAACTACCCCATATGAAACCCGTAGCCTGAGCCGAGAAGGCACCGCGAACACGAGCCGGGAGCTGAGATGAGCTGCACTAAGTCCATGACTTTAGGGCTTTATAGGGTATCACTAACCCATTGCTTCAGGGTTTTAGGTTTATAGGGTATCAAAAAACCCATTACTTCAGGGTTTTAGGTTTATAGGGTATCATTAACCCATTACTTTAGGGTTTTAGGTTTATAGGGTTTAGGGTTAAGGGTATCATGAATTTATCATGAAACCCTGAAGCTCAGTAAACAGTACGGCGGTTTATGAGATCTCCAGAGTGGGGCCATGTCTGGGAGCAGGTTCGGGATGCTAATCTCAGCCCATGGGTGGCCGGAGACAGACATCAGCACAACCCGAGTCATTACTCAGTTGTGGTACACTTCATGTAATTCCATGCTTGAAACTTGAATCACTGGCGGCTCTCTGGGAGTGCAAGGGGCGGCCTTCCGAGTCTGCTGGGTTTCCGGGAGATCGATGCAGGTCTTGAATAATTGAAGGGGTGCCAGTTCCAAAACCCGATGGTCGCCGCGGGTCTCTTGAATGTCATCGCAGAAAATGCGACCCTAAACCCTAAACCCCTAAACCCCTAAACCCCAAACCCCTAAACCGCTAAACCCTAAACCCTAAACCCAAACTTGATCAGGTACATCCCGGACCATTTCGGGGAAAGGTGGAGGCCGGATTCGTGGCCCTTAAGGGGAGCTCCCGGCCATGGCAGTGCAACTGCAGTTAATGTAGTGGCCTTAACAATCAGAACAGGGTTTTATGGTATATTATACTGTAATTATAATAAGGAACCTCCAAAACCCTCTTCTAATTATGAAGGCTCCTACATTGCATACTTCATATCCGAAGCACCAAATTCCGGCGCAACCCGAGAGAAGGACCTTGGGGTTTAGGGTTCAGGGAACCTTAAGCCTTAAACCTTAGGATTTAGGGTTCAGGGAGCCTTAAACCTGGGGTTTAGGGTTTAGGGAGCCTTAAACCCTACCATCGGTTTTGCTGTTCAGGGTTTCAGCTTTCAGCGGGTTTGGTGGCTCTGTCTCGGACAAGAGCCGAACAGTTGCTCTGCTTCAGATGTAGCCGCAGGAAGCGTGCTACTGAGGCTTGGCCAAACCAAAGAAGAGGTTTGTTTTGTAGTGCATCCACACACAGCGACATACAGAGATATCAACCAGACGAGCTGGCAGGCGCACAGAGCAGCTTCCCCGCAGCCGTGTCGATGCATTTCGGCACCCGGATCGGCAATTCTGATGCAAGTTATTTTAAGTGTCTTCCGTTGTTCTTGGCGGCCTCCGAGCCTTCTTCGAATACGACGACAACCAGTTACACTACTGTATTACTTTCGCTGTTACTCCTCCTGTATCTCTTCGAAATCCTGAAGCCGTATACAGGCAGCCGGTCGTGGCAGGTTTTGCGATCTTGAATTTCGCAGGCTGCTTTTCCTGCCTTGGCCTTGCAGTGATGTTTTCGGGTTTCGGTTTAGAACCGGAGGGGAGTGGCATCTTCAACTGGCAAGAGTTTGGCTCTTCGGGGTTAATCTCGGCTGCATGAGGTATAGCGACCCCTTCGCCCAGCAGAGGAGGTGCAGAGTTGATGGTGCCCGTCTGTGGTTCTGTTGGCTTCGTTTTTTTCTGTGTTGAAGGTTTGTTCTCGTCCAGGCCCACGCCGTTCGGCGTGTAATGGTGCTTTCATACTCGTGTGAAAAACATGCAGCCTTTGCACATTGACATTTATGCAACTTTTCTGAATTATACAGTATAGTATACCTTATTGTAGACAGTTAGGTCGATAGGTAGGTAGGTGGTTAGATAGATCGTTTTCTTATGTACTCCATCATATAATGTGTCATGCATTGCCTTGTGTCTTTTATGGCTGGGATTGATCGGATGGGGGCGGTACATTCATTCAATCATTCATTCATTCATCTATATCTTTGTCTGCATCTACACTTATATGTATATCTACCTGTATCTATGTGCAGTATGTATTGACTGCACATATGTGTATGTATATACACATGCATATATACATCTTCGTTTCATTTTTGTTTACACAGACATACATACCCTTAAGCTTTTTGAGTTTTACTATCCGCCTCCGTGCCAGCACCGACACGCGCCCTGGTCCGCTGCGCGGCTGGGAGGACACTGGCTTCGGCGATAGGCTACGAGCTGAGGTTGCCTGTTCTGCCTTCCGGGAGTTTAGAGCTTAGCGGTGTAGAGCTTTAAGGGTTGAGGGTCCAGAGACCGAGCGACACTCTGGGAATCAAGATCTGAATTCCGGGTGTCAGACGATTGTGAGGTTCTGATGCATGCCGGAGCATCTAACTTGCTGTTGGGTCCGGGGCACCGGCCTTTCATCCGAGCAGAGCGCACGGCTTCATGCGAAGGGATAGACGCCAAACCTCGAAGGCCCGATGCCGGACGTTGGGACCCGTTGCCTGGTGGAGAGCCGTGCGGACCTCGGGACCACTGCCAGTTTCCGAGCAGCAGGTACTCTTAGCATTTCTTGTTGCAAGACACGCGAACCCAGCAGCAATCGGTGGTGGGGGCAATCATCATCCGATCCCGTACTGGCCATGTCCAGCGGGGGCTTTGGTGTTGAGGATGTCTTGTTGAAGGCTCAGGTCTCGTGTGTGTCAGCATGTAGTGAGCTCCATGCGAATGCAGCGTCTCCAGCCCGACCCGATCGAGGGTCCAAGATGTGCGGCCGTCTTTTTCAGCTGTAGGGTTGGCCTTGGTGTCGTCAGGTACAAAGTGCGTAGCGAGCATCGAAACACAATGCATATATGCATTGGTACTTAGTCGTTGAACTGCTACGGCAAAGTAGAATGGCACTGTGAAACCACAAGAACAATGACATCTTCGCATGCCGGCGGCGGTGATGATGATGACCGTCATGGTTTCGACGGGAACGATGATGCTGTTGCTGATGGGGATAAGGTGCACGAACGAACAAGGCCGCATAGCGTCACAGCGTTGTATCGCAACATATCGCAACAGCAAAGTCACAACCACAACCAAGTATCGTCGGCCATGCAGCAGCCCTGTACCTGATGCACGCAGCAGCCTGCAACTGGTCATCCAAATTACCCACGAAAGATAGGTGTGACATCAGAGTGGCACCGAAGAAACTTCTGCTGTACATATCCTAGAAGCCCAGACAGCTCTGGCTCCTTTCTTATATCAGGACAGTAGCACACTTTGCTCTCTCTCTCTCTCTCTGTCCCTCTCTCTTTTGTCTCTCTTTGTCTTGCGCGCTCTCTCTCTCACTCTCTCTGTCTTTGTGTCTCTGCCTTTGTCTCTACGTTCGCCCCTCTCCCTCTCCCTCTCTCTCTCTCTCCCTCCCTCCCTCCCTCCCTCCCTCCCCTCCCTCCCTCCCTCACTCGCTCTCTATCCGCCTCCTTCCATGTACGAAGACGTACCTGGAGATACAGCAACTGGGGTTGAAGCCCTTTGGGCTTAAAGCCCTAAACCCTAAACCCTACGAACCTTTGAAGGGCGACTTCTGAAGGGATGCCTTAAGTATGTGGAACAATGCCTGCTCAACATAGGCTCTGAAGCGCAAGTGACAGAAAAGGCCCTTAAAAAAACCTGCGAACCCTGAACCCTTTAAACCCGAAGCCCTATAAGGCCTGAACCCTATAAACCCTGAACCCTAAAAACCTTAAACCCTACAAACCCTAAACCCTAAAAACCCTGAACCCTATAAACCCTGAACCCTATAAACTCTGAACCCTATAAACCCTGAACCCTATAAACTCTGAACCCTATAAACCCTGAACCCTAAAACCCTGAACCCTAATAAACCCTAAAACCCTAAACCCTAAAACCCCAAACCCTAAAACCCCAAACCCTAGAACCCTAAACCCTAATAAACCCTAAAACCCTAAACCCTAAAACCCTAAACCCTAAAACCCTAAAGCCTAAAACCCTAGAACCCTGAACCCTAAAGCCCTAAAGCCCTAAACCCTAAAACCCCAAACTCTAAAACCCTGCGACCTCTGAAGTGACCCAGGGATTTTGGCCTTCCTCGGCCGACCGGGGCCTCAGAGCCAACCCGCGTGGGCCGATGGAGGCCACCTTCGACAGGGGCCCGGCTTAGGGCTTAGGGGGTTTAGGGTCTAGGGTTTAGGCTTAGGGCTTAGGGGGGTTTAGGGCTTAGGGGGTTTAGGTTTAGGGCTTAGGGGGTTTAGGGTTTAGGGGAGTTTAGGGCCTACGAAGATTAGGAGGTTTTGGGTTTAGGGCTTAGGGGGCTTAGGGGGTTAAGGGTTTAGGGGGTTTAGGGCCTACGGGGTTTAGGAGGTTTTGGGTTTAGGGGGCTTAGGGGGTTAAGGGTTTAGGGGGTTTAGGGCCTACGGGGTTTAGGAGGTTTAGGGTTTAGGGGGGCTTAGGGGGCTTAGGGGGTTTAGGAGGTTTTGGGTTTAGGAGGTTTAGGGTTTAGGGGGGCTTAGGGGGCTTAGGGGGTTAAGGGTTTAGGGGGTTAGGGCCTACGGGGTTTAGGAGGATTAGGGTTTGGTGAGTTTAGGGCTTACAGGGTTTAGGAGGTTTAGGGTTTAGGGGGTTTAGGGTTTAGGGGATTTTAAGACTTGAGGCTCACTCACAAAGAAGCACCTCCACACGCACAGACATAAACAAATATGTGAGCAAATATGTAGTTACATAAGTGTATTGATAAATATGTACATATATATATATATACACATGTTTGTAGTAACAGATCTATATATATATATATATAGATACGTATACATATACATATATATACACATGTTTATAGGTTATTACTATAGTCAATTACGTGTTTTTGCTTGTCTGTTTGCTTGTTTGCGTGATTGCTTGTCTGTTTGTTTTTTGTTTGCCTGCTTGTTTCTTTTTTGCTTTTTTGCTTGCTTGCTTGCTTGCTTGCTTGCTTGCTTGCTTGCTTGCTTGCTTGCTTGCTGGCTTGCTTGGCTTGCTTTGCTTGCTTTGCTTGCT